GGCACGCCACTGATCCGCTGAGCTAAATCCTCGGCCCTGGGCTAATTTTCTTATTAAAAAACCAGCATGATTCATACCTGTTCTCATATATCTTTTAGATAGGTTTTAAATGTACATAAAACATTTTTGGAACTAAATGGCAGTGGTAAATTAGTCTGTTGCTTTTGTTTGAAGATTAGGTCTACTGCTGAATCAGTGCTATGGATTCTAGGCCCAGTGCTCATTCCAGGGACTGGTTTTAGGTGGGAGCTAAAACCAGTAATAGTTATCAAGCACCTTGTATGCATTAGACCCTGTTTTAGTCTTACACGCACTGGTGGAGGGCTGTACTACTGTTGTTTGGGAATGGATAGTTCATTGCGGGGCTTCCCTGAGCTTGTTAACATCCTTGGACTCCTTGCATTCACTTCTCTCTCTCTACTTGTGTCCATCAAAAATCTCTCCAGATACTTTCATATGTCCCCTAGCAGTAAAATTAGCTCCAGCTGACAGTTGCTGTAGTAGTGCATTTAATCATACACAGAGAAACTTGAGGAAACTACTATTGTTATCATACCATTTACCAGTGAGGAAATGGAGCTTACATAGAAATTAAGTAACTTTCCCAAAATTATGTCAAATAGTGTTTCAAAGGGATTCAAATCAGGGTCTTTGACTTTCAGCTTACCCATGAAACTGTGCAGCCTCCCAACTTCCTATAGATCTAAGGGAATACTGTACAATATCAGCTCTTGGGCCCTCAGAAAATCTGACTTTTTTGCCCTGATTCCTGCAGATACTGGGATCTTAAAAGTGGGGCTTGCATACGAATCTTCTATGGCCACCAGGGGACAGTCACTTGCATGGATTTATATAAGAAAATGCTTGTATCTGGAGGACGAGATGCCCAGGTGAAAGGTGAGAAAGAACTGCCTTAAATTTTCTAAGAAGTTTCCTCAAATCTGTGGGTTATCAAAATGCTTTTCTCATCTCTACAGGTAGCCATTTATTCTTTTATCCATCCATATATCATCTATCCTTTAAACAACTGTTTGTTGAATACCAACAATATTCTAGACACTGTGCTATGTGCTGGCAAGAAAAGAGATGAACATGATACTGTCTTTAGATATATCTTGTTATTTCCTGAGAAGGCTCATAGCCTTCTAATGGAAGCAGGAAATATTTAAATATGTAACAGGGGATATAGTAAATACATGAACAATAACAGCTGCCATTTACTGAGTACCAATTTTATGACAGGATATATATTTTCATATATATTTAAATAATATTTAATACTCAAGGAGCCTGTGAGGTGGATGCAGATGAGGACTTGAAAACTGAGAGGGAGGGGGAAAAATATGCCCCAGATCGAAGCCGCTAAGTTGTAGAGGGGAATCTGAACTCAAGGATGCTTTGTTCTAAGTCACGTGCTCTTAGCCACATGTGGATTTCTAAGTGATCTTAGGAGAATAAAAATTTAGGGAAGGCTCCACAGGCAGGGTGCTATTTGAGTTGAATGGAAGGATGAACAGTTTTACAAGCAGAGAAGAGGGACACTATAAGATTTTGCAAGCAGAGGGAACAGCTCAGGCAAATGCACAGAAAGATTAGGAAGACAGTGTGTTCAGGGAATTTCCCATTGTTTTGTGTGGCTTGAGTGAAGCGTGTGGTGTGGAGATGAGGCTGATAGGTTTGTTTCTGCATCATGGCATAAAGCTAAACTTTCTCTTATAAGATATGGAAGGCTATGAATGCATTTTAAATTTAGAATTGACATTATGAAATGTGTGGTTTAGGAAGATAGCTCTAGTAAGAATTTGGAAGAAGGATTTGGATTGAGTGACTGTGGAGATAGTTGATGATTTCAAACACTTCAGTCTAGAGAACTTTTGCAGTGTTTGCAGAGTATCTGAGAATAGGCAAGCGTGAAGAAACAGATAGATGTGACTTTATATTTGAAACTCCAGGCCAAAAGGAGGTCTGCAGAGAGAAAATTGGCAAGATGAAAAGTAAGAAAGTTAAAGGAGCAGGTGATGAGGCCATATTTTTTTAAATTTTAGGTATATAGAACCCATGGATACAAAATTTACTGTAAAGTGGATGGTGTGGATGAAATTTGCCCTGGAAAATAGGAGGAAAGATTGTGAAGAGAGGCCAGGGACCTGGGAAGCCGCAGCATAACAGGGCACGTGGAGGGCAAAGATGTGAGAAAAGAACACTGAGGCGGGGTTACATTTGTCAACGCTCAGATCTAAGATTTCTAAAGAAATCTTAATTCCAAGCTCCTTACCTTCTCTACCTGACTGAATATGTCATATTCCTGCCACTTTTGCTTTAAGGACTTCAACAGAAAGGGTGAAAACTATCCAGCTGAGGGTTTGAAGATGGAAGGACAGCTACAGCTTTCCTGCCAGCTGGGAGGGTTTGTGGACCACCAGTGAGGTCAGGTTAAGCCCTTACCTCAATCATAATATTTAAGGGAGCACTAAAACAACTCAGTGATCAAGAGATATATTTCAATGCAATTGTGTGTGTGTTTGTGTGTGTGTGTGTGTGTGTGTGTGTACTGCTGGGGATTGAACCCAGGGCCTTACATATGCTAGGCAAGCGCTCTACCACTGGCCCACATCTCCAGGCCACTCAATGCAATATTTTACACTCAGTCTTAGCCAAAGTGCCAAGAAACAATAGTTTAAAAGATAAAAGTTAATGCACAGAGCCTGGTGTGGTGGAGCACACCTGTATTCCCAGCACTCGGGAGGCTGAAGAAGGAGGATTGCTGTGAGTTCGAGACCAGCCAGGGCTACATAGTGAGTTCCAGATCAATCTCAACTACATAGTGAGACCCTGTCTCAAAAAACCAAAATTGCTCAAAATCCGCGAAGAACCAAAAATCTCAAAATGTCTTTCAATTTACCCTTATCCTGGCCCTGGCCACCAGCCTGCCTGCTTTTCCTTGTCTCTTCCCAACTGCCTGGGCTACCAAACTAAAATAAAAAAGGAGATCACTTTGCCAATGAATCTTTAATCTTTTGATTTTTCCATTGGTAATTTTATGAACTGGCGAAATTCATAACTAAAAAAATTAATGAAGGAAAGCATATGTACTACTTAGGGTTCACCATGTATAGACAGAATCAGAGGCCCCTTACTCAAAATTCCAGGGCTGCTCTCCGCTCCTGTGAACTTGAGCATCTTTCTTTTTTGTTTTTTTGAGACAGGGTCTCACTATGTAGTTGAGATTGACCTGGAAGTCACTATGTAGCCCAGGCTGGTCTCTAACTCAAAGTGATCCTCCTGCCTCAGCCTCCCAAGTGCTGGGATTATAGGCATGCGCCACCATGCCCAGCTTGAGCATCTTTCTGAACTCTATGGCTCAGTGTCCTCATCTTTATTGTGGTGAATAATGCCACTACTTATCTCATAGAGATGATGGAATTTATGTTCAGCTCTTGGAATGGTTCCTTGCTTATTGATAGTGCTTTGCGAATCTCAGCCATAGTTATAATTTTGTCCTGGACTCTTTGTTGTCTTTTCTGAGGACAAATGTACAATGGGGGCTGATGAAACAGACTTTAAAGCTTTCCTCCCTGAATTTGCAGTTCCCACTTTTAGCCTCTTTCTTCTATCTCTGTTCTCACACACCCATCCCCTTTCATCCTCACTCCACCCCACAGTATGCTAGGGCAGGTGCTCTAAGTCTGTGTAGAAGCAGCCTTAAGTCCACCCCTAGCCATGGCACTGCCTTCATAAAATCCAAAATTCAGATGCAGAAATATTTGAAAACAAGAGAACAATTTTCTTGTCCTTTGTAATATTTAGATATGGGTCAGGAGACAGTGTGTGTCATGATTTTCATGAAATCTGTTCAATGGCAAGCATTTTCAAGGCCTGAAGAGTAGATTTATTGGGACTAAGTATCTAGTACTTGGGCCCAAGGGTCAGAGCCAGGGTCCTGTGCATCGCCACTCTCGGTCAGGGAGCTCTGTAATGCGTCTATGCGGTGCAGTCTGGCCAGGTAAAGATCCTCCGGGGTCTGACTCAGTGGGTTCATCTAGGCTTGGCTTTTGTCATGGGGAGCAGAACTCCACTGTAACCTTCCCACACCTCCTCTTCCCTTCCTTGCCCTCTGTCTTTCTCTCCTTCAGAATGGGATGTGGAGACGGGGAAGTGCCTAAAGACTTTTAAACACAAAGACCCCATCTTGGCCACCAGGATCAGCGACACCTACATCGTGAGCAGCTGTGAGCGAGGAACAGTCACAGTGTGGCGCATTGCCACAGCCCAGCCAGTGAAAGTAAGCGGGCAGCAGGCTGGGGGTGAGGGTTGGGCTTCCTCTTGAAGGAGACATGTTTCCCCGTGTAGCGCCCCTAGACTATCCTGGAGTAATTAAGTCGCAGACACAGTAAGGGTGGTCCTGAAGCACCAAAGAGAAAGACTCCGATGGGGGACATTCTGAGCTGGTGCAGGTCAGGAGCTCCACTGCCCGCATTGTGACTCACATTATCATAAAGCTGGTGAAAGGAGGCTGCTTCTATAACTCTATGTATAATCTCTCTTCTGTATCAAAGCCACTCCTTCAGCACAATACCTCAGGGCCTTTTAACAGCAACAAGGGTAAAATTCCCTTTTCTCCCAGAATTTTTTACCCTGACTTTGGCATGAACTAAGGGGATGAAGAAAAAAACCACTATTTTTTCCTCATTCTTTTAGTAAGGTGGAAACATTAGGGGATGGACAAATGATATTTTTCCTCCTTATTCTCTCAGGAGGAGAGAACATTGGCTATCTTGAAAGTGACTGGAAGTTTTTTTCTATTGCTATAATAAAATACTCAACACCGGGCTATTTATGAAGAGTAAAAGTTTATCTGGCTCACCAGGCATGATGTTGCACACCTATATTCCCAGCAATTGGCAGGCTGAGGAAGAAGGATCACTACTAGTTTGAGGCTAGCCTTGGTTACACAGCGAGTTCAATGCCAGCCTGAACTACATTTTGAGACCCTGTCTCAAAAAACAAAACAAAATAAAAAGTTTATCTGACTCATTCTGGAGGCTGAGATGCATAAAAGCACAGTGTTGGCATCTGCTTGGCATCCTGGTGAAGGCCTTCCTGCTGGACCTTGTCATGGTGGAGGGCATCACTTTGGGAGACCGAGCGATCATGCCAGAGAAGGCTCTCTTCTATAGCAAAGTCACTCCCACAGCAACCTATTAATGTATAAATAAATTCATTCATCGGGTCAGGGCTTTGTGGTGCAATCACTTCCCAAGGGCTCCACCCCACCTGCAAATACCACAAATGTGTGCGCTTAAGTTTACAACACATGAATTCCATGGGACACACCCAAACCATAGCAAATGTTCACCAACTGTGTTCTTTGTGGATTTGGCCTTACAGTGTGTTGGTTACACTGGGTGGTAATTTAATATTATTTGTGCCAAGAACACAGGTTTACAGTGAAAAGTGGCTGACTTGGTACGTGGGATTTTCCCCACCAGTTTTGTCTCTGGGTCCTTACAAGGAGCTGAGGATGGAACACCTTACCCTTTGCCTCTGACAGCAGAGGAGAGGGATTTTTGGCCCTTGCTGGTAGTCTAGGAAGATGGGGCCTTCCCCAGGAATAGTCACACCAGGAATAAGGGTCCTACCGGGTCACATACCTCCATAGCTGAGGAAAGAGCTGCACAGAAAGGGAGGCATAGACTCTTCTGGCCTTTTTAGAGCAGAAATAAAATCAGCTCAGGGACATTCCGAGTAAGTGGTAGTCACGGATGGGTGGAGTGTGGCTTTGGGATCCATCTAAAGAAGCCTCTAGCTTTTGCCCTTGGGAGAGTCACAGAGTTGAGGTGGGAGGTGTGCTTAAAACTGTGACATTCTTTCTTGCAGAACCTCACTGGACATGAAGGAGCTGTGAAATGCCTGTTCTTTGACCAGTGGCATCTTCTCTCAGGAAGTGCTGATGGCCTGGTCATGGCCTGGAGCATGGTGGGAAAGTATGAGCGATGCCTGATGGCCTTCAAGCATCCAAAGTAGGTTTTGGGGAACCTGGGACTGACAAACAAGAGTTCCCCCTTTTTCCATCACGTCCTAGACTGTGGTCTGACAGAGCAGTCCCTTCTGCTCTCTGTTGACCTCTTGCCCTCTCTGTTCCTCACTCATTTCTGCTTCCCTCCTCTTCTGTTACTCATCCCCCACCCCTTCTCTTCTGGGCATTCCCTTTCTGCCCTCATGTGTTTCTCTTGACAAATAATAATACTAGTGTGGATTTTGAGAAGTCATTGAAATTGTATACTTGTGACGCACGCGATAAATTCACATCTGTTGTTTGTTACACCTGTAAATATTTGCAAACCCATCTCAAACAATGCCAATTATGTGTAACTTAAAATTCTTGGAATTGGTTTTTAATCCCAGGAAGCTTGTCTTATAAAGTGATACAGTACTCAAGGTTTAAATAATGAATGACTTTTTAAAAGTCTTTTTAAAAAGTCTGTGGTCTAGCTCTATTCCAGGATTGGAAAATGGGTTTCACTTCTCATTCCAATTCAAATTTAGTGGTGATGGTTGCTTGGGCCAATTAAGAAGTATATATAGTGTTCTGAAGTCACAATTGAGCTTATTTAGAAAGAGTATTGTGGTGAATTAATAATTCTGCCACAGCCTTGAGTTTTATTGGCGGCTCTATGGCATTCTTAGATTACATGGATGATACTGCTTGCCCCAGAGTGCATTATAAAATGTTCCAGAGAACAAAATGCTTAATTCATTAAAAGACTGTGGATTTTCCACACGATCTATCAGTAAATTATGGTTCTAGATTTTCTTATATTCTCATAGGACCTTTTCATGCAGGTTCACTGGTATTGTGGGAGGTTTAAGGGGACAAGGGTTTATATGAGTATGTTCTCTTTCTGTGATACATGTCGCATTATTAACAAGTGAATGCAAGGTTAGACTTGTGTTCAATGATTTATCCAACACTTAGGTGACTATCAGTAAGCCAATTTATTCTGTCCTCTGGATTATCAAGGGTTGATATCAAGGAGGGAATCAAACTATATGATGTCACATGAAAACTACAACTTCTAAGCAGTATTCAGTGGGATTTAGTTCGTTATTGAAAAATAATGTGTTCCTATCTCATAAATCCACTCCACCTCTCCCATGAGAAATCCTCAATGGCCAGTGTCATTGAGTAACCACCAAGGCAGCATTCATCTTAGTTCTTGATATCTGGCATGGTCACAGAGAAGCCATAGACATCTGGAAGACATAACCAACATACTGTAAGTGCCTCACTCCTCTGTAAGGCTGTATAGATATAAGTGCTCAATAAATGTATCTAATTGGCAAAAAGCACTAATTAGATAGATGGCTTGCTGGAGAGTTCTAATGATTGGACTGATACCCACCTTTTGGATATGCCGTGGATGAGAAAATAGATATAGTTACTTTCTTTTCCTTGGCAGAAGAACTAGAGACAGAGATCTTTCTTGAGTCAACACCTTTTTCAAATAAAATTATGATTTTGAATATGTCTTGGAAGAGAATGGATATGAAAGAAGAAACTAGAAAATGTAAAGTAGCTTGACAGAAATGATAATCTTCAGCAAAGCTTTTGTACTCTGTGAGGTTTTCTTTTAAAAAAGTTTTATTTTTCAGTGTCTTTTCCATTGGTCATATTGTAATTAGACTTTTTGTAATTCTTAACTAGAACATAATATACATAGTACAAACTCCCTCACTTTAGTATACAATTCAATAGTTTTTGGTATATTCATATTGCTATACAACCATTATCACTATCTAATTACAGAATATTTCCATTAGTCATTAGAAATGTTCCTTGTTCTTCTGACGTATTTTTACTCTTCTCTTATTTTCTTGGTAAGTCTGAGTAAATATTTGTCAGTTGTCTAACGAAAGGTTTGTTGATCTATGTAAAGCACCAACTTTATCAGATAGACACCAAAACAGTTGTAATGGGAGATCTCAATACCTGATTGTCACAAATAGACCAACTAGACAAAAAAAAGTCAACAAAGAAATATCAGCATTCATCCAAGAGAACTAACTTGAGAGATATCTGCCTTGTAGGCAGACTAAGATGTGCTTAGGATACCACATAGTTATTGTATTTCCATCCAGGAAGGAATTAGAATGTTTTTGAGCTTTTAAATACTTACTTTATGGCTTAGCTGTCTTTCTATCTCTCTCTGTCTCCACCCTCTCCCTCAGGGATTCAAGCCACATAGGTCTCCTTGTTATTCTTTGAATATACCGAGCATGTGCCTACCTTCTGAGGTCTTTATACTATTTCTATTATGTCAGTGATCAAAGCCTTGAAAAGTTCTCATCTGGCCCACACTTATCTGACTGTGGCTAAGGCTAAATGGCATGAGGTGGATGTCACTCTTTTAACATTTTGTAGCTATGCTTGGACCATACAGCCTGAGCAGTCAGTTATTTTTCAACAAATATATATTTAGTACTTGTAATAGACTGGGCACTGTGCTAGGTGCTGGTCATACAGCAACATCTATGACATGAGTTGCACCCCCCAAAATCTGACAGTATACCTTGAGTTTGTGTACACGTGTGGTGGAGATAAGAGATGCTTTTTGAAACAAGTGAGCTAGACCAGGGGTGTGTGTATCATTTTAGTCCATTTTCTATTACTAAAACAAAATCCCAAAGCTTGTTAATTTATAAAGAAAAGAGTAATAAAAGCGATAAAGAAAAAGTTTCACAGTTTTGGAGGCTGGAAGTCCAAAATCAGGCAATCTTATCTATTAAGTCTCTGGCAAGGGCCCTGCTTAGGTGAATCACTATGGAAGAGAAGAAACTGGCCCCCTGCAGAATAGGACGAGCCGGTGGGGCAGCCTTGCTTTACAACAACCCGCTCTTGTAGGAACTAACTGGGGTCCCATGAGGAGCACGCTGATTATCTGAAGGCAGTGCCTTCCATTTAGGCTTCATTTCTTAAAGGTTCTCCACCACTCAACCCTGGTATCTTGGGGGACCAAGCATCCAGCACAGGAATCAGTGGGGGATAGTCCTAAACGACATGGAAACCAGAGCAGATGATATGCACTAATGGGCATGCTTTGCATATTGGACCTAACAAATTAGTGGCATCAAATTCAACTTTGATTAGAGTTGATTAAATGGGGTGATTTCATTTGTTGGAATTATATATACCATATATCTGGGGTCCAGCTTATATCTGGCTGCTATGGTTAGAAAAATGTGTCTAGGTCTTCTGATTCCCCCTTTCTCTAATGGTCATCATAAAAAGAAACTTATAAATCCTATCCCTAGTACAATTTTCCTTAAGGATGTTAAGAATGTTTATTCACTGGAAGGATGAAAACAGCTAATTTAAGATCAAAAATAAACCTCCGAATTTAGGGCTTTTATTTTATATAAAGATTACCCCTTTAAAAATATAATAATACTATTTTAAAAACAATCAAAACATGACATCATTGACTTTTGTATAAATATATAGGAATCAAATTGCAAGGAAAAAAAAAAAAGCTCCATGATCATATATACTCCCTGTTCTCCCAGAAGCCTTCTTGTTTTGTCACCTTGTGGCCCTACGGCCACACTGCAGGAAAAGTAACAGCAGAACGGGAAGAGGTGTGTCTGAGCATCAATGGTTTATACCCAGAATTATTAAAACAGTGGAAACATCACTTGGAGGACAGTTACGATCACTGCCTCCCGGTCACACACAAAATTCCCCAAACTCCAAACAAACCCAAGCAGTTTCCTGAAGGTAGTTTCTGCCTATTTTCTGTTCCCTTCCAGGGAGGTGCTCCACGTGTCCCTTCTCTATCTCCGTGTCATCAGTGCCTGTGCAGACGGCAAGATCCGCATTTACAATTTCCTCAATGGAAACTGTCTGAAGGTGATAAAATCTAACGCCAGAGGTGATCCTGTGCTGTCTTTCTTTCATCATGGCAACAGGTGGGTTGTAGTTGTGGAGAACTGTGAACAATTTTGTTGATTATTTCTTTTTTTTTTTTCTCCTTTGGGACACTAGTCCTGATTTGCTGTCTGGAGGAGAGTGGGTACTGCCTCCCTCCAATCTTGGCTGTACTAGAGTAGCAGTCTTGTGGGGAGCTACTTGGCCTTTGCACAAACCTAGGAATCAGAGTGTATTTTAACTCTTAATACATTCTGGATGTTTGAGGAAATCATGCAATGGGTATCAGTTCTTTTGTCAGGACTATAGTTGTGCTAATACTCGGATCCTTTTCCTCTTTGATCAAGCACTGCCCAGAGCTCTGTTAACTGTCTTTGTCATCCACTTAGAAAAGGGTGAGGGAGGGAGGTCACTGTGAAGGAGGGCCAGTGAGGAAGATCCAGTGAGCGAGAGCTGAGCAGGTGAGTTTACAGAAACCGGTATCACACCTGAACTCCTGGTACACAGTACTGTGCTTGTTATGTATGGACTGCTTCAGGGTGATATTATGTGAAAACAACCAAATAGAATTAACTTGTACATTTTATCCCAAACTCACTGGAGATATAATTTAATCACCCTAACCATACTGCCTTCCTTATAATGACAGGTCATTAATACCATCTACCATCTTAAAGGAAAAGGGAGCTGGTAATGAGGCTCAATTAAATAAGTGCTATTCAATTATGAAGTAATGATGTTGTAAGAGGCTGGGGAAATAGCTCTATTAGAGAATGTGCTTATCCTATGTGAGCTCCTGGGTTCAATCCCTGCACTCTGCTCCCTCAAAAAAAAAGTCAGTTTTAACTTTTCTCATTCACAACATCCCCAGAGACAATTTCTTTTATCTTGAGTTTAAAAAATGAGTCTGCAACGATTTCTTAGTGGAGTTTGAGCGCCCAAATTCCATTCCAATGTTTCCAGCCCCAACGCATCACTTTTCTAGAAAGTTTACACTAGCAGTTAAAGTCTTAAAATTGCAGCCTTGGAGCAGAAAGGAGCCTATATATAGCATTTTAATTTCTTATTCATAGTTACAGATCTGACAGAGAGAGGAGGAAGCAGTTTACTTTGTGTAAAACCAATAGTAGTGGGGGAGGGCATCAGAGAAGATAAAAATCATCCTGTTTTATAAGGTACTTTGTTGACATCTGGCATATGTCCAGAGGGCTAGCACGAAGGAGAGTAGTCTGTTTGTGTGGTGGGTCAGCAGAGCAGAGAAAGATTCTCTGATACAGAATTTTCATTCTCACTGTAGGGGTAGAAACAGGGGCACTGAAAACTTTGGGTCTCAGAAAAAAATGAATAAAATTTTAAAAGAAGTGAATATGAAGACAATTGTGTGTGGAACACCTAAGCCTCCTCCTTGATTACCCTACGTATTTGGAAATTCATTGAAAAATGTTCTAGGCTGTGTGCAGTGGGTTATATCTGTAGTCCTGGTTACTGGAGAGACTGAGGCAGGAGGATCACAAGTTTTAGGCCAGTGTGGGCAATTTATTGAGACTTTGTTTTAAAAATTTTAAAAAAGGGCTGAAGATGCAGCTTACTATGACCCCTGGTTTCAATTCCCAGTACTGAAAAAAATAAAGGAAAAGAAAAAGAAAATTATAACTTGAGAAGCAAAGCAATCAGAACACAGGTGTTCTGTTCATGTTTGTTTGTTTATTAAAGAAAACAGTTACAAAGCTAAGCACCCTCTTCATGGCCTGGTCTTTTTCATTACTCCCCACCCAGCAACTAGCTTTTTTTGTATGGTTATTGCGTGGGCACTGATCCCTTGGCCTAGGGGTTTGATGGGGACAATAATTGCAATGCATGTGTTGGTGGCCTCCATGTTCCTTCGGTGGGCAATCTTGTTTTGCTTCCAGGATGGTGGTCAACACAGAGAGCAATATTCTCATGTTCCAGTTCGAGAATGTAAAATGGCAGTACTCCCACGAAAGAAGTAAACAAAAGAAAAGTAAGGATAAAGAGGAGGAAAAGGAAGAAAACAGTCTCCTGGGCCTTCCTTCCAAGTCTAGCACTCAGGTTCACAGCCTAAGAGAATCTGTATCCAGTAAACAAACTGTCACCCAGGAGTTCCTACCAAATAAACCTCACAAGTCTCACCTTCTTCTGAATTCAAGCAAGTTACCTCCAGGTAAAGGAGCTGAACTGCAAACAGTTTCAGTGGTAACCAGTGGAGCAGGGGAGGGGATTTTAGGATTTGTTTCTTTGCAGCATATTTTAGTCAAGGGTTTCTTGATGATATAAATTCTAACTTTTCAGGAAAGTGGGTGCTGTTCTCTTTGATCCATCAATTTGTTAGCCATCTAAAGGAAACCGCTTGGCTTTCACCATCTAGATTTTCAAATTTATTAGCATCTTTATTTAGTAGGTAATATAGTAACCTTGTACTTGAAAAGCTACCAACATCTCCTATTCCTCAAATCCAAACAAATATTATAAAACTATTTTCTCAGAACAGAAACAAGAAGTTACACTAAGTAGAAAAATGTTCTGTGAAGAATGTATCCTCTTCGGACCTTTGATAGTGAGTGTACCCGGAAAATATTAGTTATAAAGCACATGTGTATATGTGTGCATGTATACATATGTGTGTGAGTGTGTAGGTGAGGGTGTGGGCATAGCTCATGACATTTATGACATCTAAAGAATAAATTATATGCAGGATAGAGTGGCAAATCTCCTTCCTTTTACTTGCTCTACATGAGGCGTGAAATTTGATACACAGATCTATAGAGAACACCAACAGATTACCTCAAAGCATATCACTGTACAAATAGCCAGCCTTGGGGAGCCAAGAGTTTAAGATAATGCTTGGAGCTCGCTAATCAGAAGGAAAAGTATGTGGAAAGGGAGTCAGGAAATGATCTAGACAGTAGACTTCAGGTGACTAGTTTAATATCAGAATAAGCAACATGGTGAAAGTTTGAGTGAAAATCAGTTGAATTATGAGCCCCTATTATTACTGATTTTACTATTACTATGCCCACATTATTCAGATATAATTAAATTGTATAATTGATACAGTTTTTCCCTCAGTTTTACTTTAGCCATGTTAATAGAAGTGCCTCAAAGATAAGCAAATAAAAATCACCCCAAAAAGATGGCTACAAGAGAACTGGTTCTCTTTATAGGGGAGTAAATGGCATGGATGATGGGCAAGAGAAGTGGGAAGAAAAATCTAAGACAGGACATACGATAGTGATGCTTTATTCTAAATTAGTGGCAAGATCGTGCCTTTCTCTAGCGGACCTTATCTTTGAGGATTCAGAGTGATGGGTTTTCCTTAATTGTCCCTTTACTAACTTGAGGGTCTAGAGCAAGAAGCTTCCTAAGATCTGAGGTTCACAATCTACTTCCATTCAGCTTTGTGGCTTCTTGCACGGTTGTGCCAGTAGTCTGAATAATGGGTACAGCAGAAGAATTAAGAGATTGGGCTAGTTACAGCGGATTTCATGAGAGAAGAGAGAGATGTTTTGGGGTAGGATATGCTATGTATATGAGATAAGAAAATATGGGGGGGGATTGCAAGAAGAGGTGCAAGAGAAGAGGTACAAGAGTCAGGCATGATGGTGCATATCTGTAATCCCTGCATTTTGGAAGGCTGGGGCAGGAGGATAACAAAACTGAAGCCCTGCCTGGACAACTCCATTACTTAGGAAGACCTTGTCTCAAATAAAAAATAAATAAATAAGGGGCTAGGGATGTAGCTCAATGCAAAGGCTCTGGGTTTAATTCCTACTCCTGCAAACAAAAACAAACAAAATCTGACAAAAATCAAACAAAGAAATGAAAAGTTGCTGGATATCATAACTGAATTGCTCTTTTATTGTTTCTGAAGGACACTGGTAACAATTCCTTTGAAATATTTTTTAGTATAGTAGTGTTTCTTTTAAGCAAACTCCCTGCACAGACCTGTTTTAAGGTAAGGTCAAAAGAATTAAATTTGATGGAAATTATGCTAATTATGAACATCCTGTATATACATGTATCTGGATACTTAAGTCTATAATGTAAAGTCCAAGGAGTGAAGGTGCTGATCCAAAAGGTCAGTGCATTTAAAGACTAGAAAGTTATTGCCACATTTGTCCTTAAAAGTGTGGTACTAATTTACACTCCCACTAACAGTGTGTGAGAGCTCCTATCACATCCATGACAACTTTAAGTGTTATTTATCACCTTGTACATGCTTACATGCTAAGTAAAAATGGTATTTCTTTAAGGTTGATCATTAATTTAATGTCCAACAGTGGCCAATGGCTAAGCAGTTAATACACAATGTATACCTGGAATATTGCATGAAAGCTAATAATTGTATGATGAGAATTGAAGTAATGGGGATAGACATAGAGACTTGGAAAAATGTCCAAGATATATTGTTATGCAAAAAAGGCAATGTAATGAACAATGAGCTCTTTCCAGTGCCTTTTTTTAATAAAAGGAGAAAAATTCTTTGTTTTTTGGGTTTGGAAGAAGGGAAGATTTTTATACTTTAATTTACTCAGTTTTATATATTTTAATAAAATGTTGTTTAGCAAAGTAAAGGTCAGGGAACAATTTGAACTTTCATTTCATCCTAATCTGTTCATCTTGGGATAAAAACTATTTGGCCAAGGGAAATTTTATGTATAACACTTTGTATTTTATTTGCTGGTGTAGCTTGGGGTTTAGGCTGACTCTTACTAGTTAGGTTCCACACTAGACAAATGACTGCTACATTTCATGACTGATACTCCTTCTGGAAGTAGGATATTGTTATCAGTAAGGTACTGTAGGGACTGAAAAGTCTAAATGGGATCAAGATACTATATCTGCTTACCTTTAAAGATATCTTCAATAACTTATTGGTCTTAGACTTCTCAGAAGTCCTGACCGTAAAGTAAAACAGAGGAAGGATTCTCTTGTTCTGGTCATTGGATTTTGGACCTGCTGATACTTTTAGTTATGTTATAATGTTTTGCATTGCCCAGAGGTGATATAGTCCTCAAAGATGGGTCTGATTTTGGGAAATGTCCAAGATCAATGGAAGTCAAATCTCATTGGTAAAACTGAGATCAAACTTTGTGATATAATTATCATTGAAAATATAGGTATACTATTATAAACGCATAAGGCCTGTTTTGTGTGAGTCATAAATTGATATGTGCAGGTAATTTCTACAGGGAATTTAAAAATTTGTGAAATATTGGAATCGCATATGCATACAAAATATGCATATCTAAAAGCTAATACACACTTTTTATGAGTTTAGCACATTTGTTTAAAACTTATTTTGTTAAGTCACTTCTAGTATCATCACTTCTGATATCATTAGGGACATCTGACACTTGATGGCATGCCTGCTGGGCAACAATACCTACGTGTGCCTAGCAATTTAGAAAGGCTTTAACTTTCATGCATAATTACTTAGTATTTTCATAGAATGCTGGTTTTTCTTTTCTTTTTATTAAAGCAGATGATGAGGAGAAAGTACAAATACAAAGAAAATCAAAACCTCCTGCAAAACTGATCAGGCATTCAAAGAAAAAGTCCTGGAAAATGCCTATGTCACCTGACCAGTTTCTTCTGACGGTCAATGCCTTGCAACAAGCCCATAATTCAGGACAATTTGCCTATCCCCATAAGTCCCAAACCCAAGTCATTGATGCCTGGGTACCTTCAATTTCATACCCGAGGAAGGTCCTGAATTTCAAGGGAAAGCCAATCCAACATGCAATTGATTGGTTGAAATTTAATAATCTTCCCATAGATGTGAAACAAACCAGTATTCCCCTTGAAATCCAGAAACTGAAGCCCAATTTGAAGACATCTTTGCAGAGTCCCAACATCCAGTCTACCATACCCCAGCCCATGGTCATCCACCCCAGGTTCTCTGACAGCTTAAAAGGTGAATATCACTTGACCAGTTCAATCGGAAAACCAGGGCGCCATACGGGACCCCTTACCAGCATGCAGGTCATTAAGCCCAACCACATGCCAGCTCCACAAGTGAGCCTGGCTACCCTGACTCTCAAGAAAGAAAAGCCTCACTTCAACACAACTCTGGATCCCCTTCGAATGAACACAGAGTTCATGCTGTTGACCGTGAAGGAAGAAAAAGAGTATGAAGAAGCCAAGATGAGAGAATATCAGGCCAGTGAGCCCACTAGGCTGGTCAATCCAGGAAAAGCAAGCAAGGCTGCATGGATCAGGAAGATCAAAGGTCTGCCTATCGATAATTTCATAAAGCAAGGGAAAATAGCAGCTCCTGAACTTGGAAAAAATATATTTATCTAAATGAGCCTTGGGAAATTATAGTGATTTACAATAAACCGGAAACCAAGTTAGTATTTATGTTTGGCCTTGCCCTCCCCACCTGCCCTCCCACCCTCTTTTCCTTCTTTCTTTGACAATTCCCTGGAAATTAATGTGGAAACTCCTATCTTCCTACCAGCCAAAGAACTGATAGTATCAAAGTAAGAAAGGAGGAGAATAGGAGATACAGGCCTCTGCATTTTCATTGGAAACCAATGAGGTTTAGGGAAGTTCAATTTCATTGATAGGTGGTGGGGAAATCCTGGAAAATTAGATACTACTCACCACTACCAATTTCAACATGTCATTTTGTCCAGGGAACAAAGGATTGTAACAGAATAATTAATTGAAATTTGCTGATATTTCGGTATTGAAACTCAAGTTCAGTTACCCTAAAAGGGTAAAACTCTAGGCAGGTTGACATATTTTATTTGAAAACATTTTGTGTGTGTTTGCTTCTTAAGGCTAATTCCTTTGGAAAAGAACCAGACAATTTCATTCTCCCAACCAAGAGGGATACTAATATCAAGTGGGTTGAGATTTCTATTTAAACCATTGGAGGGTAGTCAGCGGTCAGACAGGAAATTAAGAGGAATACAGTCTCCCATAGGTGCTATGGTCCACTGGGGAGCCCAAGCTCCATCCACAGGGCATAGCTCCTACTTTGTGGTTCAGCATGGTTAGATCTTGCCCTACACTTTTAAAGAATAATTTATTCAAGTAGAATGCATAACAAAAGTAAAAACTGCAAAAAGACAGTTCCATAAAACCCCATCACACTGAGTAGGCCACTAAAAACATGCTTTAGATAGGCTATATGCCCAGAACATCTATCCATCTCCAAGAACAAGCAGGTATTTACTTTGCCAAGCTTTCTCTCCTTTGGGAAATGTGCGTGTGCATGTATGTGTGCACACCATTTGGATATTGCGTTTTAAAATAGTGCTGCTAAATAGCCATGTAAAAAAAGGTTTTTGACCAAGACCTGTCTTGTAAAGGTACAAGATCCCAGTAATGAATGTAACTGTACTGTATACCTAGAATGTACCAATAAACTCAATTAAAAAGAAAAAAAAAAAAAGGTTTTTGTGAGTGCAGGGAGGGGATCCAACCAACCCATGGCCTCCAACATGATAAACAAGCACTCTACCACTTAACTATACCCCCAGCCTAAAAGCTGTAGATTTAATGAAAAGAATCCATCCCTTCAATTAAGGAAATATGGGAATACTCATTTCCAACACTAGTCTGATTTAGGTCAGGTAGATAAGCTAATCCTATCATCATAGCTTTAAAGATGCCTTTGAAGCCTCTGAATTTTAGCTGTAAGTAAAATCACACTATTAGAGGGTGAATTTCAAACAGTTGTAATAATTTTAAAAAGTGTCCCACTTACTAAATACCCTGTAACGTTATCAGCCACTCCCACTTTCTGATTGAGGAAACAGAGGATTATATAACTAGTAATAGAGGGCAGGAGTTGAAACCCAGGCACCCAAACTTCAGGTCAACCTCTATTCCTTATTGTTTTCCTGCGTCTCAGATTCCCTTCCCATAACAATGTCCTGCGTTGTTTAGAGTCCTTTTGCTTTGTTCTTCGCAAAAGCACATTTATTTTTTCAATTGCTTTTAAAATTGAATACACAAAAATAATACTGTACAGGAATACCGGTCGTTGTAAAATACTCAAATTACAGAATAAAGCCTTGCCCCTCGCGCTCAGGGCATAGACGCTGGCAGTAATGCACCTCACGGGTAGCGGAAAAACATTTTTACCCTTTGGGAAACTTGCGCAGCTTCCCCTTAGATTTGATAGTAATTCCGGTATCCTTTCCAAACTGGTCAATATTTTGCTTCTAATTGGATTAGACCCGACTCCAGCTTCCAGATCGCCCTGCCCACAACCTTGCCCCGCCCGTGCATAGCCCCACCCGCGCTCTTCCAGGCTGGAGTTGCTCCTCCCTCCAGAAGTTCAGAAGCGGAAGTGAGGCCGAAAAGTAGGGCCGGGTGGAGGCCTGTAGAGTAGCCCCGTCCTGGCCTGTGATGACGAGGCCGCCGAAGTTGCACGTCGGACCCGGCCGCTGCTACGCTGACGTGGCCCCCGGAAGTGGTGCTGGCGCAGGGCCGCCATGTTGCCGCAGGTGAGGGGTTGTGGGCTTCGGGAGAGGGCAGTGGCATCTAGAGGGTTGCCCTCCCGGGTTCGTGGGGCGATAGCCGACCGCTCCGGGACTGTTGTGTCCCTGCCCGCCGCCTGAGCTCGAAGAAGAGCGGGACGGGCGAGCGAGAGTGGAGGACCGAAGACATTTGTCTGGGGAGGGCTTCGGGGTTCCCAGAGGCTTCTGGTGAGCAAGAGAAGCTGGGGGCTGTGGAGGAGCCCATCGTCAACTAATGCCAACAGCCAGGTGACCCCCGGGCTGGGCTGCAGCAACGCTCTGGGCTTCAGGTTTCGGGTGGTCGCTTTTTCCTCAGCACGCAGTACACCGGCTGGGAAGAGTGGGGAGCTGCCTGCGGGTACCTCAGATTTCTCCTGCGACCCTGTAGGAATAGAAGGAAGTGCCGGAGTCTTGCGTTCAGGTTATTACCAAATTAACAAGGACGGTGATTATCAGTTTTGTGCTCTTACAGTCCACACGTTTGTTTTGGTAAATTTTAGTTATTAGTACATATGTGTAATACATAATACCTTGTGGAAAGTTGGGTTTTTTGGGGGGGTACATGTTTGCCTTGAACTCACGGCGGTCCTCCTGCCTCAGCCTTCTAAGTGCTGGGATTACAGGTCACCATGCCAAAACCTAAAACATCTTTTTTTCATCAACTCCATCCGTCCATCTCTTGGTCTGTTTTCCTTTTGCAAAAGGTACTTGTTTCTTAATTCTTCTGTTCTTTGTGTCAGCTTTAGTTTTTCCTGTAGTTCTGAAACTTTTCTGAGGTCGCTGATGACTATTAAAAATACAGTGATCATTTTTATTTTCATCTTACTTAGCAGCGTTTGACAAGATTGGTTGAATCTTTCTCCTGGAAACACCAGTGCTGTCAGAACACTATGTCCTGGGTCACTCTGTTTTAGCTGCCCTGGCTAGGCTCAAGCTTGTCATCTTCCTGCCTTAGTTAGCCAGAGCACCAGGATTATAGGAATATGCCACTGCACCCAGTTTACCCTCTAGGTTCTTAATACTATACCTATAATTTTCTTGTGAATCAAAACATGTCAGTCCCTTGCTCAGAACACTAATATTTACCTCTCTCAAAAATTTTTATAAAGTTCTTATGCTAGCATCTTAAACTTAATATTCTTAGAACCAAACTTCTGATTTTGCCTCAAAAATCTATCATGTCTATTGTTTTCTTAGTAAATACAATTGCAAGAGTACAGAACTGTTTATTTTCTTTTTCTGTAAGATTTAAAACAGTCCCAGCAACTTAGTAGGTTCTCAGGGTTTACTGAATAACTAAGAAGACCCTAATCCTTCAGAGAGCAGGGTAGGAGCAGAGTGTTTTAGATAGAGTGACCACAAGTGCAGAAGAACTCAATGTGCGGCCTGGCATTTAGCTCAGAGGCACAATGCCTGCCTGGCAAGATCAAGGTTCTGAGTTTGCACCTTGGTACAAAACAAAAACAAAAAACAAAAACAGCAAACACGCACTGTGACATGATTTTGGTGTGTTTAACTAAAAAGGCTAGTCGGCAGGAGCTTAGTTATTTCTTGTTACTTCTGTACAAAATTACCATAAATTTAGTGGCTTAAAAGAAATTCATTCTTACAGTTCTGGTGGTCACAAGTCCAAAACGAGGCTTATGGGGATAAAATTAAGGTTTGAGTGTGGTTTTGTTTCTTCTGGAGATTTTTTTCCTTTCTTTCTTTTTTTTTTTTTTGGCCACTGGGGATCAAACTCAGGACCTTGTGCATGCAAGGCAGGTGCTGCACCACTGAGCTAAATCCCTGGCCCCCTTCTGGAGGTTTTAGAGGAGTCTGTGTCCTTACTTTTCCAGCTTCTTGAGGCTGCCTGTATTCCTAGGCTAGGAGAGTTGTACCTCTGGCTTCTAAAGCATCAGCAGAGCATATTCACAACTCACTCTGTGTCATCATCACCTCTCACTCTGACTTTGTCATGTCTCTCTTTTAAGGATCAGTGTGATCACATTTTTGGGCCTGTCTGGTTAATTCAGATTAATCTCCCCATCTCAAGATCCTTAATTTAATCACATCTGCAAAACATTTTTTTTTTCAGCTAAATAAGCATGTTCACAGGTTCCAGGGATTAGAATCTGAATATCCACATCTTTGACTGAGAGAAGAGGCATTATTCACTCTAGACAGTTAATGAGGGGAGAGTAGCCTGAGAGATGTTAGAGGTGGGCAGGGAAAGAGCATGGTAGGTTACCAGTCCAAGTACTGTTAGTTTTAAGGCAGGAAATTACAGTCTGATGTGACAGTGTCTTGCTGCCTGTTAGGTGAAAATTGGCCTTTTGGAGTCAAGAGCAAAGGGCCACAACTTTTTATTCCTCAGCATCATATGGTAGGTAGATCTTAATCTTGACTGTGTGGTTTGATTATCTAGGGAGCTCCAGATGTCCAACCCATACTCCATGTAGGTAGATTAATCTTGACTGTGTGGTTTGATTATCTAGGGAGCTCCAGATGTCCAACCCATACTCCAGATTAATTACATCTGAACTTCTGGGTATGGTATCCAGATATTGATAGTTTTTTAAGAAAAGCATTTCAGTCTAGGCAGGTTGAGAACCACTGGTCACAGAGATCTGAATCCATTTTTCCTTTCCAGTTTTAGCATCTATTCTACTTTTCCCATCTTTCTCTTACCATATGGGCTACCTGGTCATTCCACATATATACTTAGTGTATTCCATCATCTGTGCCTTTGAAAACATATGTAGTTCAAGGACTGAGCAAGAGACATACATGGCCTGTCAAGCCCCAGCTGATAAACTCTTCCAGGAAACTTCTCCAGAGCCCTCTAGTAGAAATGATTCTTTCCCTGCCCTGTGCTCCCATTTGCACTTATACACAGTCTGTAATAGATTATAGGCAATTGCTTCCCTTGTTTATTCACTCATACCTTCAACAAATATACTACTTGGCTGGGTGCTGTTTTAGATAGTAGTATTTATTACAACAGTAAAAGAGTCTTTGTCTTCCAGTAGGTAGAGGTAGGAGGGGCAGACTTGCAGTCAGAATACCTTGTGATAAATCAACTGAAGATTACTCCAGGTGCTATAAGATTTTAGAGAAAGTTTCTGAGCTGTTTCTTTTTTTTGAGGTGAAACCTGGAGGGTGAGTTGGTGTTTGCTTGATGGTAAACTTGGTGAGGGGTGGGAAAAGGCAAGAGCGTTTTGAGTAGAGAAGACATGTGAAAGGCAAAAACATGGGAGAAGCCATGCAGTAACTGTGTGTATTGCCCAGTGGGAGTGTCAGAGGTAAGAAGTGGGTATTAGATTGTGCAGTCTATACTCTATGAGGAGGAGTTACATTATCCTGTACTTGAATGAACACCATTGAAAAGTTTGAGCAAGGGAGTGACATGGTATGATTTCCATGTTGGTACACTTAGTTTGTGAGTAATGTAGAGGAGAAGCTGGAATAGAGCAGCAGTGACTAGAGGTAAAGGCAGGGAGGCAGGTGAGTGGAACTAGGGAAGACACAGCTATCAGGGTGATTATGATTGAGGCTGAAGGGGAGTTGCATTAGGTTCAGTTGTGAACCTTTCTTTGATCCTAAGGTGGTGAAAGGAAGGAGTGCTACAGAAAGGTAGAAGATAGAAGAGAAGATTTCAGGGTTTTAAAAATCTTTTTTAAAGTGATCTTAAAGAGGTTTAAATGCTGATTAGAAAGACCTGATAGAATTGAGGATACAAAACGATGTAAGTAAAGGGGAACATGATAGAAGAAGCCTCTGAGAAGACAGAGGATTTGGTGCACAGTTGTTTGGTGTTGGGTAAGAGGAGATGCTTTTGTGCAAATGAGAACAAGGGGTGTAGTCAGGTTTTGTGAAGGAGCCAAAGTTACTGAATTTATTCCTGATAGATTCAGCTTTCTCTGTGACTTGGAAGACAGCACCTGAGGGTAGATGTAAGTTTGCGGGAGTGTTATCTATAACTCAGTATTTTCTAAGAGATCAGTAGCCCAAGGACTGGTATGGAGACAGTTGAGTCTTAGATTATCATGTTGAGTATTTGCTAGATGTTGGAAGTTGGAGTAGAGGATTGGCATGTTTTTCTCCAAGGTTGCAAATTCCTGATGGCTGTGTCATGTCATAATTTTATCTTCCTTTTGACAAATGTGCATCTTTGCATTGTGGTAGGTATATAAATACTGAATTTCATTTTGTTTCATAGACATTTAATTTCCTTACTAGGACAGTAATGATGACACTGAAGATGTTTCATTGTTTGATGCAGAAGAAGAGACAGCTAATAGACCAAAAAGATCCAAAATCAGGTAAGAGGATGTTACGTTGTGTTTATGTCCAGTTCTGTCCTTCTGTTGGTGTCACCTTATGGGATTCAAGGCAGAGTGGTTGCAGTATGCTTGTGAATTGTGTGTTGCTAATTTGATTTAGTATAAGACTAGGGAAAAATTGGCATATGGAATTTTATTCAATCCTGAGTTTTCAAATCAGCAAATTCAATTATTTGAACACTAGTATTTTTAAATTTTGTGATAGCTCTATTTTCCAATGGAAAATAGTTTCTTTGTATAATTTATGTTGATATATTTTTCTTTCTTTTATGGTATTGGGAATTGAACTCATAGCCTTGTGCTTGCCAGGCAGGCACTGCACCCCTGACATATATCCCTGGCCCTTGATTCATTACATTTTGATTTACTACCCAAATTTTAGAATTTTATTTTTTAGAAATAATAAGAAAATATGCAGTCAAACAGTTCTATTCTAAGTATCCCTTTAAAGAAATTAATTTAACAAAGTAAAATTCTACCTGAACCTTGAAAGCATGCAAAGTATGTCAGTCACAAAAGACCAAATATTACATGATTTTATTTATATGAAATGTCTAGAATAGGCAAATCTTTGGAAATTGAGTAATGAAAGATTGATTGTGGTGATGGGTGCACATTTCTGAACATGCTAAAAATCATAAGTTGTATACTTTAAATAGATGGTATGAGAATCATATCCAAAAAAAAAAAAAAAAAAACCCAAGAAACTTCACTTGATGGTTACTTTGTCTTTTTTTTTTAAATTTTAATTTTCTTAGTACACGTGGAGTACATAAAGTTTACATTCTTTGTGGGAAGTTGGTACATGCGCATAACACACCTTAAGTCCTTTTCTTCCCCTTTCCTCTGCCCCCATCTACCCATCTCTTGATCTCTTTACTTTTTTTTTGTACATATTTGCAGTACATAATGCTTACATTGCGTTCCTTGTGTAGAGATGGTACATGTATGTAACATCCCAATGCTTTTTTCATCTCCTGTCATCCCTCTGCCACCTCCCTCTCCCTACTTCCTATTTTCTGTCCTTTTTTTTTTTCATTTTTTGAGACAAACTTATAGCAATCCTCATGCCTCAGCTTCCTGAGTGCTGGGATTACAGGCATGTGCCACTATGCCCAGCTCTTTTATTTTGTTCTTTGTTTTACTTTGGGTTTTTTGTATAAGAAAAACCATGTTATATTTAAGTTTATGTGCCTAATTTGTTTCACTTCACATTATGGTATCAAGGTGGATCTAGTTTCCTACAAATGAGTCAGGTTTAAATGGTTACTTTGTCTTGTGCCTGAATGGATTTCTGAGGGTCTGGGAATTCATTTCATATGAGTTAATAACAGCCTGGGTAAAGTTTCTTGTTAACATGTTTTGTGAAAGTTTCTATTCAATGAGGTGTTAAAGTTATGTTTACACAATGTATTTCCTGTGATGAAAAGGTTTAGATAAGTACTTAAGATAGGGAATTAATAAAGAGAGGTACACAGTTTCCTTCTTCCTCAAATCATCTTTCATTTTGAAAAAGGTGCTTATCGCTGTACAATGGCTGAAACATTGTGCATCTACATTTAGTACTGGTAGTAAAATGTAATTGCATTTCTTTTATTATGTTTTGGTTTTCAGACATCCGGTGGCATCATTTTTCCATTTGTTCTTTCGAGTCAGTGCAATTATAGTCTATCTTCTGTGTGAATTGCTCAGCAGCAGCTTTATTGCCTGTATGGTGACCATTATCTTGTTGTTGTCATGTGACTTTTGGGCAGTGAAGGTAGGTTTTTATTTTAAAATTGTCCGTAATATGTTTGAATAATGTATAAAAAAATAAAACAAGAGACATAGCATTTTAGTTTGGTGTTATCTTTTTGTTACTTCAAGCCTTATCTGTTAAAGTGCAGGATATAACTGTCACATGTAGGTCATTATTATTTATTTTTGGAACTGGGAATTGAACTCAGGACCTTGTGCTTGCAAGGCAGATGGTGACACCACTGAGCTAAATCCCTGACCCATATGTAGATTATTGTACTACTGAGTTGTCTGTGCCGTATGTCCACAAGTATTACTATCAGCCATGAACTATATATTACTTCTTGTCCATACCACTAGTTTTGCTCCAGTGTCATTTTCTGTTACATTGTATATAATTTCTGTGAAAAGCTCCAGTATAATTTCTCCACAATTGCTTAAAAAATACCTACCTTTTGCAAGGATTTCCATGGGAGCTTTAGAGTAGTATTTTCTAACCAGGGGCAGCCTCTCTCCCTTCCATTCCCCTGACCCCCATGGCATATTTGTCAGTGTCTGAAACATTTTTGATAGTCATAAATGGGGGCACTGGAAGAGTAATACTGGCATCTAATGAGTATTGCCCAGGTATGCTGCTAAATGTTTTAAGATGTACAGGAAGCCCTGCACAACAAAGAATAATTTGGCTCATGATGACCATTGTGTAAAGATTGAGAAAATAAAAAAATTGTCCAGCTTAAAGATGTCATTTGTGCCAAGGTTGAGAAACCCTGCTGTAGGAGTGCTAGAATTGGTCTCAAAGTCAAAGGCAATGATGGGTAGCAAGGTGAATGAATGAATGGGTAGAGAGATACATAGATTAATTTAAAATAAGATAACTAATGAGATATTGTGTGGACTTTAGGTGATGGATTCTTGGATAGTCACTGTAAAATTAACTGTTCTTGTGTGAGAGAAAAAATCAAATCAAATAAACAGAATAAAAGAGGTTTATCATGGAATTTTAGTCACACTGTCTTCTCTATTTTTAGATCTTTAAATTCATGTAGCTATCAGAAATGATTGGCTTGATGATGGCCAGTTCCCATAGGACATATAATACTGGGAGAGAAGAATTCAAAGGCCCGTTTTCTTTAGTCTTTTGTGCATTCTTGACTTTGCATTCTTCTGTTGCTTTATGCTCTAAACAGTGTATACTCTTATCCTGTTCACAGTTTTGTTGTGATGAATGTTTATTTTTGTTGTTCATACCATTTCTGTTCAACCAAATAGAAGATGGTCTTCTTCATAATTCCAGACTCTTACATAGCTTAGTATGCCTTAGCCAAAATGCTTGAGACCTAAAGTGTTTCAGATTTCAGATTTTTTTGGATTTTATCCAAAAAACAGACTTTATCTGTTGGCCATTTCTAACCTGGAATAATGAATATGAAATGCTCCAAAATCCCAAATCATCTGAGTATTATTTTTGCAGAATAACAATGAGAGAAATTCAGATTTCAGATATTTAGAGCAAAGAAAATGAAATGCTTTGGGGGTTAGAGTAAAAAATATGACCAAATAGCATATTTTCTAATTTTTTTAAACAAGAGTTTAAAAAATTTCATGTTTTTATCCTTGGGAGAATTACTTATAGATATCCATACAATTGAGATACAAAGCAAAATTCAGAACTCAAGAATGGGGAATTGTTAGATAGAATTGGGAAAGGCAGGGTTCTAAAACTAGTTGAAACGGAAGTGTGTAATAATTATAAATCTCAATGCAGTTGTCAAAAGAGATGGAATGATTTTAGAATAAGGCCTTTTTTTAAAACCCAAAATCCTATATGATATTAATAGACTATTGTGAAAAATATAATCTAAAATGTTAAATAATGATTTTGAAAATCTGATGGCAACTATTAGTAAAATTTAAAACAAATTGTGTATCCTCTGTAGCATTGGAGAAGATAGAAGCAAATAAAACAGTTCAATAGCAAAAAGAAGGGAAAAAACCCCACAAGGGTTAGAGAATCATAAATTTCATTCCTATGTACAAGGTTATGGAATTAATAACAAGTTCATTATAGTATTAAATGTAATCGATAGAACACCCTTTGTAATAATAAAAGCCCTAAGATTGGGTTAAAAATATTGTTCAAATAGTGATATTAGAGAAAAGAAAAGAAGGCCAAAATAACATCAGGCCAATTCAAACAAAAAGAAGCATAATATCATTATATGAATAAAAATCAGGTTAAGAAACAGCAAATAAAGTGTCAATTTATGAATCACAATGAAGATCACTCAGAATAAAATACCAAACATTAAAAATATAGAAGGGCCAGGGATTTAGCTCAGTGGCGCCACACTGCATGCCTGCCTCACAAGCAAGCACAAGGTCCTGAGTTCAGTCCCTGTTACCTGCCCCCCACAAAAGGAGAAATTGGAAGAGCATGATAGAAGTTCCACAGAGCTGTCTTTGACAGGTCAGAGTGATAAAAAATGTCTAAGAGATTAGAAAAAATTGACAAAGTTAATTTAGTAGCGGTATTTGGTTATTTTTGTGTTTTTTGTTTTTTTGTTTTTGGTACTGGGGATCGAACTCAGGTCCTTGCACTTGCAAGGCAGGCCTCCGAACCGCTGAGCTAAATCCCCGGCCCTAATAATAGCAGCATTTGGAACTTTATATGTACCGATACACTGTTGAACATATTCAAAAATTGATTAAATGGCAGTAGCAAGAAATCTAGATCAGTTGCCCAAACTGCCTACATTTTCTGGTCCAGTGAAACAAAGTTAGAAAGCAATGAGAAATGGTTATTAGAATTGAGATTTTTAAAGAAAAAGTCATTTTGCTAAATATTTTTGTTTAAAAAGGAAACAAAAGCTGAGTGTGGTCATACATGCCTATAATTAATCTTAGCTACTTGGGAGGCTGGGGCAGGAGGATTGCAAGAGTGAGGCCAGTCTGGGCAAGATAGCAAGATCTGCTCTCATATGAAAAGGACGGGATGTAGCTCAGTGTTCCTTGGGTTCAATCTCTAGTACCAGAAAAATAAAACATAAAACAAAAAAACCAAGCTTGTAAGTAACAGACTTGGCATTTTACAGTGATCTTCTATAATTAAACTTGAAATGCATCTAAAACTGAATTTAGAAGAAAACAGACTAGAGGTTTTTATTATTAGAAAAGAAAGTGAAAATATTGGAGTACTAAAGGCCAGAAGTTTCAAAAATAAAAACAGTATGAGAGAAATTAGAAAAAACAAACCAATAAAGATAAAAGCACAAAGAAAAGAATTGAGAAATGGAAACAGAGGAATTTGAAAATATTTTAAAATCTGTTCCTTGAAAATGCCAATAAAGTAGACCTCTGGTTTTTCTCAGTCTCTTTTGCCAGCTCTTGTTTCTGCTAGCCTTTAAATGTTAGCATTTCTACCTTGTGAATTTTGGTCTTTTGAGTTTCTTTTTACTTTTGTATTCTTTTTCTAAGTTGTACCATCTGTGCTTCTGGCTGTAAGCTGGGTTGATCTGCAGATTTAGATCTCCATCCATGTTTGTGCTAGTAGCTCCAGACTTCCCCATTTGTCTTCTTGACAATTGTAAAATACTGTAGTTCTTGCCTCCCACCCATAAAATGCTCTTCTCCCATAATTGTTCCCTTTTACAGGGCCTGGAGTCCCTGTTTTTTCACTTGATTGGACCAGAAATATATGAGTTGCCTCCTTCCTGCCTTGTGCCCAGTCAGTCACTCAAGTGTCATACATTTTTCTTTGCTCATTAGAGATCCTGTGCCTGTTGCTGCATCTGGAATGTTTTTGCTTCCATGTCATCTGTTGCGTGGATTCCTCGTGTTTTTAAGGCCATGATCCCCTTTTATATCCCAATGAGCCTATGGATAATGTTAAGTACATAAAAGAAAATATGTAAGATTACAAATAAGTCATACTGAAATATAGTTAGTTGGTCATCTATATTCATGAGTTCTACTTGTACCTGTGCATTCAACTAACTGGATCAGTAAAATTGCATCTGTACTGAACACATACAGATTTTTTTCTTGCTGTTATTCCCTAAACAATATATTAACAAAAACTACACAGCGTTTAAATTGTATGAACTGATTTAAAGTATTCAGAAATGTTTGCATATGTTATTTGCAAATACTATGCTGTATTACATAATATAAGGGACTTCAGCAGTTGTAGGTTTTCATATATGTGGCAGGGGGGCTAAAATCAATCCCCCATACTAAGGGATAACTTATAATTTAAAATATTGAAAAAATTTTCTAATATAGTAATGTATATTTCTTTATGATTGTACTATTAGTATTGGCAGATCTCGTAATACTATATATCCATTTGTGCCTCGATTCATGAACTTAATTTGTTCTGTGGTTTTGGAAAAGATGACCACAATTGTGTTTGTGTGGAAAAGATGGTTGTGGTCTCATCGATTGAGGTTGTGTTGGTTGCAGTTGTGGTTGTCACCCAGTGCACAATTTGCAAACAAAAACAGAGTTTTGCCAGATGCTTCTGTTTGTGATCCAAATTGTTTGCAAACAAAAGAATTCATGAACTTAGGTACCACTGTGCTTTCAAAGCTGTGATGAGTGTAAACAATATTTTGAGATATGTACAGGAAGTGTAGTACCAAATGAAAATTACCTAGTTTGTATTGTGACAGTCATGAGTTTTGTTAATTTTACTTACATTCATGGTTTGTTGTCTACATTTAAAAATTAAAAGTATGCTAAAATACTTTATAGAAAAGTATAAAAAATAGAAAATAAAAGTTTCCACATCCAGGTTCAAAGAAACTCTGAATCTCTTAGTAGACACCAACAATTAAATGTACGCTATATCATTGTTACTTATACTTTAAGTTTCATTCCCAGTGCTGATTCCTCAGGAAGCCATTTTCAGATACTCTTTAGACTAGATCACATTTCCCTATTTTATATATATATTTAAATGTTTTTATTTTTTTATTATTTTTTTTTTGTATTGGGGATTGAGCTCAGGATCTTGAGCTTGCTAGGCAGGCATTGTGCTGCTGAGCTACATCCTTGACCCTCCCTGCTATATTCTCAGTATATTCCATTTTTTGATGTACAACACGTCTCACAGTTGGTAATAGTATATTTGTGTATTGGTTAGCCTCCTCTGTTCCCCTCAACATTTGAAACTCCATGAGGACAGAGGAGGTATCTATTAGTAACCTTTTTTTTTACTGTCACATTGTTGATGCTTAGTAAATGTTTATTGAATAAATATTAGGAAAACTAGTTGGTTATACTAATAAGTAGGAAGAGAACTTGGTATATTTCAGGAACTGAATGAGAAGGCTAATGTCCATAACCATTTGTAGGGATGTCTAGTTGTGAAGTGTATATAGCTATAGTCAGGATATATAGGAAGAGGCAGGTCACAGTAGCCAAGGAACAGTTGGACTAGGAAAAAAATTAGGGAATTGGAGTGTCTGTGAGACAGACAGAGAATACTGTAATGTTTATGGATAGCTGTGTTACCCTGTATCTGCTACCCATTGTTTATGCTGTTATTATATTATTTAAAACATAATGGTCTTTGTTAACTGACTCTTAAGGAGATTAAGACCGAAGATTTTTTTCTTCTTTTCATAATGATTGTACTAATATCTATATTTATATTTTAAGACTGAAGATTTTTGTTTGTGAAATGTTATAGTAAAATAAAACCTTATAATGTTTTAAATAATGCTCTTAACATGTCTGTATTTATATTAATTTTCCCCAGAATGTCACAGGTAGACTAATGGTTGGCCTACGTTGGTGGAATCATATTGATGAGGATGGAAAGAGCCACTGGGTGTTTGAGTCCAGGAAGGTAAACTGCATTTTAAAAAATAATGTCATCTGATGATATGTAGATGACATTCTAAAATTTAAGAATAAAGAGTTCAAGATTCAAAGTACTACCCCACATCACTTGCCATGTCAGTACTAAACCAGACAGTCTCCTAAAACTTAATACATTTTTCTGTTTAGTTCAAACTGGAAATAAAGTATACAACACAGAATCCCCAGAAAGGAGGTTGGGTCAGAGTTTATACAGCATGCTAAACTGCCCGTGCAAGGCTGCTGATAAAAGATCTCTTTCTGACAGCATCAAATTGATTGCCTTGCTAGGTACTATTTCTTCATGCACATTTCTTTTGTCAACACATAGCTGTTTCCAGTTTTGTTCTCGCTTTATTCCCATGTTCGTTTTCCTCTAGTAGATGGGGAGAAGGTTTGCAGCTGGATAGCAAGTCTGAGTTGATCCATCAGTTCTTTATGCTTCAGGAGCCAGGGGAGCCCTTGCCTGTTTTGAACTAGCCTGCTACTCCGTAGTGAACATTCTGTTCCCCTGTGGCAATGATGTTGAACTTATAGCATGCGTGCTGTAGTGGGCTGTTTATGTCATTGAAAGCTTTAACAATTCACCATCACTGCCCTGTGGGAATCAGTTTGGGAGGCAGAGTGCCAGGAGCCTTTTAGACCCCCAAATACCTGTTGGGAGAACAACAGGGAATAAAAGAAAGAGACAGATACCTCAAAGAGCTGGGACTAGAGGTTCCATTTGACCCAGGCATCCCTCTGTTGGGTATCTTTCCAAAAGAATTAAAAGAATCATATCACAGTGATATATGCGCACCTATGTTCATAGTGGCACAGTTTGTAATAGCTAAAACTTGGAAACAGCGCGTTTGCCCATCAGTTGGAAACTGGATAAAGAAGATGTGTTTTTTTTATAAAATGGAATACTACTCAGCCATAAAGAATGAGACATTAGATTTGTTCATAGGAAAATGGATACATATTGAGGATATACTCCTGAGTGAAATAAATTATTCACACATGTATAAATACTGAATAGTTTCTCTGGTGTGAAAAACTAATAGTACATAATATCCTAATGATATAATTGACCATGTGAAATAGGAAGGAAAGGACTAAAGGTGTGGGGAAAATGGGAAGGGTAGGGGAAAGGTAATAAGGGAAAAGGGAAAAAAATATGAGAAAATGAAAAAATGGAAATAAAGTGTTTGTAAATAGGGAGGGGAGGAGGGGTGAAGGGAGGGCATGGACAAGGGGAAAAAAATGAGAACCAAGACCTGTCATGTAAAGGTAAAAGATCCCAATAATGAACGTAATTGTACTGTATACCTAAGATGTACCAATAAACTCAATAAAAAAAAAATGAGACAATATTCATTGTACATTGGGGAACCAGGAGAAATCTGTCTCTAGTGGATAGGCTTCCACAAACTCTATGGTAGGCCCACTTTTTTTTTTTTTTTTTTTTTTTTTTTTTTTGTGGAACCAGGCGTCAGACTCAAGACCCTAAGCTTGCCAGTCAGGCTTAATGCCTCTGTTACATCCCCGGACCCGCCCACTTATTTAGTCAAGTGGGAGGCAGGGAAGCGGGTAGTATACTATTCTATGAACTGCAACTTGTAGTAAGTTTAGAATAGCAAGATAGGGACCAAGGTTAGTATCTCAAGGGGAAACAAATTAAGGTCCTTACTTAGACCAGGAGGTCTGCAGTTTATATTGCCCTCAGCAGAATGTTATCTTGCCTCAGAAGTGCTATGTTTATGGCTTTCCCACACAGGAAGTTACACTTCTCTGGTCCCAAGGCAAATTAACACCCAGGCCTCAGGACTGCAGGGTCTGTGACCTATCCCCACCAATCTATATGTGTCATGACTAGTCCCAGCAGCAGAGGACAAAAATCTCAGAGATTTATTAATTACCAATTAAACTGTTTACCTTCTGCTTGCTCAGTAATACTTCCTAGCGGCATTGTGCTCAGTGAGTCCATATTCCTTAATGTAAAATCTTACTGGAAATAACTCATTTCCCTTATAAATTCCTGGGTTTTGCTGAGACATTTAGGTCATCCTTTGATTTCATTTTTTTTTCCTTTGGATCCTAACATGACCATTTAGGACTCCAAGGTGTCTGTAGCCTTGGTTTACTTGATCCGAAAAGGCAGCATTGAAAGCTTCCTTATAAAGAAATAGTACAAGTTCATGAAGTGAGTAGAAGCCTACCAGAGATTATTCTATTTTGAGACATGATAAACTATCCATTCTGCCCTGAAAATGCAGTGTTCCTGAGTTGGAGCAAAGCATAAAAAATCATCTCCTAAAATTACAGAAGTGGTAGAGCTACTAACTGGTTTTGTTTTATTTCTTGTCCCTTGAGTTGTCTGTATTAATCTTAGAATTTAAGGGGAATGTGCAGATTATTAGAAATGTTAAAATTTTTACTGATAAACCTCAAAACACTGATGATGAGTTTATTTTTTATTTTGTAGGCAACTTCTCAAGAGAACAAAAGTGTTTCAGAGGCTGAATCAAGAATATTTTGGTTAGGACTTATTGCCTGTCCAGTGATGTGGGTGGTATTTGCCTTTAGTGCTCTCTTCTCCTTCAGAGTAAAGTGGTTGGTGAGTATCATGTAGAACTTTTGAGTAATCTCCCAAGATGTCTAATGGGTGATCATAATTAGTAAGAATCTGTGTCCTTAACATTGAGGATTTATCCTTTTTAAAAAAAAAAAAATCAGCCCATATTATGCAGAAAAATGGGATTTGTTTTGGTGTATTGGTACATACTAAGTGATTAAATACATTGATTCAGTGCCTTTTTATGAAAAAAATAGAATTTCATAAAATAACAATAATTAATACACTGTATTATCTTAAAAGTACTCAGTACAAGATAGACAAAGAAGTTTCTCACGAAGAAGAAACAAATAGGTAATAGCACAAAACTTTCCAGTGAACTAAAGGAAACTAGTAGTATAAATGAAACAAATTAGCGTATATATTAAAATACTTTTGAAAACAAGATAGGTAATTTGGGGAATTTTTGAACTTTATTTTTTAATTTGCTCTTTATTACAGCCTTTCCTTTTGTTTCATGGTTGGATACATTCCATTGTTGGGTGATACTTTTAGAATATGTAGGTTTATGTTCCTTTGATTCTTTAATGTTTAAGAATATGAGCCTATCGGACTCTTCTTGAAGATGCACTGGATTATTCTATCAGTTTCTTGTATTAAATGTTGTGGAGAAATCTGAGGCCAGGTTTTCCTGTGAATTGTTTTTCTCCCTGATGAATTTTTTTAAAAAATGTCACATGTCTGTATTTATCTTTCTGTATTGAGTTTTCTGGAATCAGTCTTTTCTCAGTGTGCAGACTCAGGTTTTCCTTTGAGTTAGGAAATTGGTTTCTGTTACATCTTTAAACTTGTCTGATTTGAGGTACCAGTTGTTTCTGTGTTTGAATCATTTATATCTGCCCCCCCATCCAGTGTCTTCTAGTTTTTCTAGTTGCTTTAATCTTTCATCTTTTTTCTGTTCATTCAATTTGTTGTTTTTTGTGTTTTTCATTACTGCAGATTGAACCCAGGGAGTTCTTAGCTACATTCCCAGTTCTCTTTATTTTTTTATTTTGAGAGAAGGGCTCGCTGAGTAGCTCAGGTTGGCCTCAAACCGGTGTTCTTCCTTCCTCAGTCTCCTGAGTAGTCCATTCAGCAATGTAATTCATCACTTACACTGAACTACCTCCTCAGCCCAGATTGCTGGAGTTACAGGCATATGCCCCACATCCTGCACATTTAGAAAATTTTTTTGAGCTAGGAGAGTGTTTATTAGAAATATAGGAAAAGAGTCGTGTGGTGGTGGATGCCTGTGATCCCAGCACTTGGGAGGTTGAGTTGAGAAGATCACCATGAGTTCTGGGTGGACCTCGGTTCCATAGTGAGTTCATAGTGGAATACATGTGAGACCCTGTGTCAAAAAAAAGAAGAAGAAGAAAGGACAAAAGAAATACAGGAACAGAAATAGCTCCCGGTTAGGATGTGTCCTGAGTGGATTACCTTGTGTCCCCTCTATCCAGAGCTTACTGATTAGGGAAGCACAGAAAATGCTCAGTTGTTTAGTGGTCACCTAAACAAAGAGGTGACTCTTTGTATATAAAATGATCTATTGAAATTCAGGCTCTCTAGCAGGGTTACTCAATATGTAGGGTTTAAAGGAAACTTGAATTTTAAAGAAAAACTGGTTATTTTGCATTTTAAATTCCTGGAAACTCAGGAATTTAGTAGGGAGGGGCTGTAACTCCCTTTAGTTGGGAGAATCTGCTTTCCATGCCTGAAGAAGTTCATTCTTGGTCTAAAGTCCTAATTCACTTCCTGTTCTCACTTTAATTCTTAGCAGTGTGACTGTTCATCCAACTCTGTCTCAAGCCCTTTCCCTAGCTAGTTGCCAATTCATAAGCTAACTAAACTTTTTTATATTCCCCTTCCTGAAGTAGTATCCTTAACTGCCCTTAGGGGAGAAGGAACAAGACCAAATTTAGCTACTTTAATCTTGGAGGGGGTCAGCATAGAGGCCAGTGGTCAGAGATTTTTCTCCAGAGAGCTAAAGGGCCTTCAATAGAAGTCATGTTGGGATTCAGCAGTTATCTACCCTCTTGAGAGTGTTGATCCTGGTAGAAGAAGTCTGAGCACATTGATCACTGGCTCTATCTGCTTGACCATCTGGAGTTTGACAGCCTCTAGGTGGGAAGAAAAAAATTTTGCCAAGAGATTAAAAATACATGGCCCAAACATAAGAACTAAAATGAAAAGACAAATTGGGGTGATTAAAGGAAGGCACCAAGTCCATATACTGTTCTTAAGGGATTGAAGTAGGGATTGTATCCAGTTGGGTCCTAGGCTTCCTGCTCATTTATGTTATCTGTAAGTCTGATATATCTTCTTATGATTTTTAGGTCTTCTTCCTGATGTACATTATTTATCCAAAGACAAGAAGTTTGATTTATAAATGTGCAAGTTCTTTTGGTTTTGGCTGTGAGGAAATGGAGGGCTCTGTGCTTTGAAGGACTATTTTAGCTAAGAAATTGAAAGGCTCTTGGAGTGCCTCTGCAGCTGCTACTGTGACTTTCCAGCCTTGTTGAACCATAATAGTGAAATTTAGGAATGATGTTTTCTTCTTTTTTCCTCATTGAGTTTATTGGTATATTTTAGGTGGAAATGATATTTTTAATAGGGCAGTACCTACTGACCACAAGAGTCCTCTTGGCAATTGTATATCCCATACCTGGCCTCCTAATACAGGGTTATCATATGCATGTCCACCCCAATCCCATTTTCCTGTCCTTCCTAAGAGGGTATATTGGATATACCTTTTTTAATGCTGTTATAGCAGAGAATGCTCCACAAAGGACCTTACTTTGAGGATCTGGCCTGAAGAGGCCTTCTCTGGACTTAATATCTTAATCTTTGGAATAGATGCTGCCACAGTACAGTCCCCTTCCACTTATAGGGCAGCACTAGGTATAAGTTTGTGCTGCATAAAAAATAAAATCTACTTCCCTCAGGGAAAGGGGCCCCAAATATCCCCAGGGGCTAGAATGTTTCACTTGATTTTTTTGGCGCCCTCTGTATTAGAACAGTTGTGGGAAGGATACTCCTTTGACAATCCCAGTTCATCTCTAAGTATTCTCATGGGACAGATCCATTAAAATTACAATGATTGCATGCCAAGTGGTTAGGGTTATGAGAGCAAACTGAGCCTCAGCCCTAGAAGAGTTTTGAGAAGAAATTTCCTGGGAGAAAGGCATAGAGGGACTGATTGCAGATACCCTGAGTTATAACAGTCCTGGTGTGTTGTTATATAAGGGAAAAATTAAAGGAACTCTTAAGTGGATGGCAGGTATCCATACAATTGGTTAATCCCTGGCAATTGTGGGTGGTGGTGTGGTGAAGTCCTGGAACTCCTTCCAGTGGAATTTTAAGTACTTAGGGTTGTGGTATATCAGGGGCCAATACTGAATCCTCCCTGACAGCTCTTTCATTAAAGGTTTTGTTGTTTTATACACCCAGGTGCTGTTTTGATAATACAGTATAAGGTAATGTTAAGAATTTAGGGAATAACCATCCCACCCAAGAGGCTTCTTTATGTGCTTGAATGCAGAGGAAAACATTTCCCTGTAACTTCTCTCATTTTTGCTTTATCACCCAACAGAGCCCTGTGTGGGTTTGTTACCATCCTGTACAGGGATAAAGATTGATGCCAGGACCCATTGACGTTAGTGATTTTTTCAGGGGATAAAAGCAAAACTAAAGTGGGATTGTAGGTTCAATTCTCCCTTAAGCATATTCAACAATTAGAATAATTTCCTTCAGCAAGTACATTATAAGTCACCATATAGCTGGGCCTGGTGGGATACACTTGTAATCCTGGCACCCTGGGAGGCTGAGGCAGGAGGATCATAAGTTTCAGTTCAGCCTGAGAAACTCAGCAACTTAGTGAGGCTCTGTCTCAAAAATAAAAAATAGAAAAGGACTTGGGAGGTAGCTCAGTGTGAAGGTGATGCATTCAGTCCCCCATGCCCCCCCACCTCAAGCGTTTACTATAGGTATGATCTGTTTCGGTCGCTGGAGATTGCAACAGCCAGATGAACAAGAAAACTACTCTGAAGGAGCTTACATTCTAGTGAAGGGTTGACAGGCAATAAAAAAAGCAGTAGAGAATGTTAGATAATGGTACTGTACCGGGGAGTAGGTAGAGTGTACAGCAACTAGTTCCTTTTATTGTAGGGGTCAGCAAAGTCTTCTCTGTATTTTATAGCTCTCCTAGCTCCATTTTTCATCTCCTGTTGCCTTAGTTTACCTTCATGCTCTTCAAATTTTTTATCTTGACTTTTCTGTAGGATGAACTATTCCCAGGAATGCTTTTATTTTGGTGGCTTATACTTCTTTCAAAATAGATTCTTCGTCTATCTTTTGTATAAGTGTGTCCTTTCATACTGTCTTTTTTTTTTCCTGTAGTTTTGAAGAGGTGCCTTTTGCTTTTTCCTGTCCATTCAGCTCTGTCCATACCTTTTCTTTCTGCAGCCTTAGTGTGGGTGAATTCTTCTCAACACCTTTCTGTGTTGCCTGAGGTGGCCTGAAGATACAGGTATATGGAGAACTTAGCTGATCCTGGCTGCCTTGGCTGGCTTGATTGGATTTTGCCTTCTGTTATGGAGTAGGGTTCTTACTTCCTTGTTGGTTGTGACCCCTGTTCTGGGTCCATGCTCTTGTTTTAGGTCGTTTGAAGACTGGAGCTTTAGCATCCATCCAGTAGCATCGGCCCAGACTTGCTCTAGCAGTGCTTCCATTTCCCCAGAACAGGAAAAGGCAATAGGACAAAGAGGCTTTATCCAGGCTGTCTCTGAGCCAGTTTTCTCCCTCTGGGTTTGGTCTCTTGTGGTTGTGGGTCCTCCTGCACTCCCTCCGTTGCCTTTTTCCTACCAGGGAGGTGGTACCACAGCCGGTTGCAGGGATTTTCCTCCCTGGTTGGGGGATTGGGGATTGTTTCTGTCCTCTGGCTTCTGTTTCTGAGTTTTTGGGGGTGGTAATTACTACTGTGTTTTCTCTTAGCACTTCTGTGAAGTTGCACCCAGCTGGCTCATTTGCTGACCACCAGCTCTTTTTGTGTTCATTGGCACTGGCTGATGGGCCTTTTAAGAATACTTGTTTGCTCTCTGTATTGTACGGAGTCACATCTTGAAATTTGACTTTACTATACCATCTTAAACCAGAAGTCTGCTTTAAGTTTTAATTTTCAAATACATTTTAAAATTTGTTACCAGTGAGTAAAACGGTTACCTCAGCAGGATCGATGCTCAGTCTGTGAATTCAGCCACCCCTAGCATGTTGGTACATACATACCCAGGAGGACCTTGATTTCAGAAGCATGGGAAGTTAAAGGAGACTTACTTATAGAAAAATACAGTTAAATCTTTACTTATCTTTACTTAGGTAACAAGCAACCTTATATGATGCAAACATATTTATTGTCAAAAAATGTAAATTTAAAATAGAAAGTACCAGCTCTGCTTCTTTTACCCAAAATTTGAATCATTTCATTATTTAAACATTTAAATCCTTGGATTTACTTAAAAACAGCTGCATAGCTTGTTAAGGGCTAAAGAGAAATGGAACAAAGACATTCTGATTAACTATTGCTTTTCACAGATGTAATTGTTTCCTGAATAATATTTTAATAGTAGTTTAATAATAGTTTTAATAGGAGTTTAAGAGCTGTTTATTGTAGAACAGGAGTTGACAAACTAAGCACTTTAGGCCGTATCCAACGTAGTGCCTTTTTTTTAAAAAATTTTTTACTGAAGTGGCCTTACCCATTTGTTTATTGTTGTTTGTGACTGTTTTTGGGCTAGAATGGTAGAATTGAGTAGTGATAACAGACTGTGTGGGTCATGTATTCTAAAATACTTATTATCTAGTCCTTTGTAGAAAATCTCTAGAACAGCTTAACGTTGGGACTGTCTCACATTGCCCTAATTGTTCTCCTGTAATATTTAAGGAATGAGCTTGAGTTTTTATTCCTAATGCCCAGCTGATCTTTATAGGGTCACCTGTAGGTTTCCTGATGTGGCAATAAGAAATAAAGGGCTTCACAGAAGTATACATGTTCCTTTGCTCATCTGTGTCTTCACAGAAGGCATACCCTGTTAGTTGCTGCCTTAGGGCACTATACATGCACGTTAGAGTGGGGCAGAGATTCACCTCTGCCTGCTGTTACTTTATTGTACTTGACTACCATTCTTTCTTAATTTTAACCATTCTTCTATAATTGGTAGAGAAGTAATTACCATTTGAGTCTTTCCTGTCTCTTACTTTTCCTTATGTTTATTCATAAACACATGGGAAGCAAGAGAGAATGCTCTCCCATCACTACATTCTCCAGGGCTAGCATGGTTCCTGGAATATCTGGCAGTTATGGTCAGTAAATGACTCAGTGCCTAGAACAGACATACATCAGATGGGTCTCTCTGGCAAGTTAAGACGTCGTATTGGCATAACATCTGCTCTGCAGAGGCTCCTTTTTTCCTTCTCTTTCTCACCAAGGTCTGCCTATTTTTCTTCTGGTCCCAGGCGGTGGTTATCATGGGTGTGGTGCTACAAGGTGCCAACCTATATGGTTACATCAGGTGTAAGGTGGGCAGCAGGAAGAATTTAACCAGCATGGCTACCTCGTATCTTGGGAAGCAGTTTTTAAGACAAGTAAGTGTTTTGTGGATGTTATGGTGACCAATGAATGATTTCTCTTTTAGAGTTTTAATTTTTCTGAAATGCTTCTAAACAGAATTTTAAAAGGTATGTCATTATTTGACTATGGGATTATGATAAACATGTTTTAATTGTTCCTTACAGGCTTTTAGGACATTTCAGAAATACATTGTCAGTATACTAAAATTATTTTAACATCAAGAGAGATGAATTATCATTGATAATAAACACATTTTTAAAAAATTACCACAAGTTCACTTGCTTTCCACTAAATGGGTGTTCCTTTTTTTTTTTTTTTTTTTTTTTTTTGATGTTTT